GTTGTTGTTGTTGTTGTTGTTGTTGTTGTTGTTGTTGTTGTTGTTGTTGTTGTTGTTGTTGTTGTTGTTGTTGTTGCTGTTGCTGTTGTTGTTGCTGCAGTTTGTCAGCCAGATTTATGGCCAAGGCAGTCATGGTGCAGGTTGGGTTCCAGTGAGATACACATTTTCGACACCTCGGAATCGATAATCCAGATCATCGCTTATCCACATGGTGGATGCTGGGTGAACCAAAACGCGACGACGAATTTGGGAAGTAGCAGGTCGATCTTTTAGCCAGCGTCTTGTGTAGAAGAATGCGAATCCTCCGAATTCCACGTACTCCAACCATTGACTCCAACTGATAAGAATCATCAGGAGAGTAGTATTGCAAGTAACATCTGTATTATTAATGTAAATAATTTCATCATTGCTAGGAACTTCACTGTCGAGACGAAACCGATTATTTTTGTTGGAATGATCAAACCCACCTATAGGTTTGCAGAAAAAGATAATATGTGGTGGGTCTTTGGATGATGATAGTTGCTCTATCAAGGGTGCAGATACCACAATCGGCCGAAATTGGCGCCGAACGTGTTTTGAATATCGTCAAGTGGTGTGTCGTACAGGAATGCTGAATGTTGGATGTGAAACTGGTGCTTTGAATCCGGGAATATGCATGACCGGTACCTCAACTCTTCCGAAAAGTTTCTTTTTAAGATTCTGATACATATATTGTCGTGAATTGGAAGACGCGCGACAACAGAACTCCTAAAATGGGCAGTGTAACGGGTGCCAATGGCAGCGAGCTGCTTATAAAGGAAGACGGAATATCTCTCCGCAAAATTGGTAATCAAGCTATTTCTATTCCTAAAACCTCCCTCCCAAAAACAATTACTCTCATTAACTCTCGTGCCCTCTCGTTTGATATCTTTGTTATTAATTATCACCTTGTTGCAAGGATGATGGCGGTAGCAGACTTGCTACAAGTTGTTCCAGCACGACTAATACAGGCTGTTCGTATAACAAGTTGCAACGACCTTGTTGACAACAACTTCAGTACGTGCAAACGATATCAGACTTGTTGGAACAACTTGTTGCGAGTCTCTTGGCCTCATCAACCTCGTTACAAGATGATATTAATTGTCCCAGACTTGTCAAGAACTGGGAACAAGCAGTGCGAACACATCTTGTTGACAAGCTGTGAAATTTTTACCCGTGTATAGTATGTGTTCAGAAAATCAAAACTGAGCTAGAAAATTAATATCAATATTGTGTAATAACAACATCCTTATAACTAGTCCAGTCTTTACAGCTTGAGAGACATTGAGACTGATAATCTGTTTGTCCTCAAGCCGCATACAGATTACCTAAAGCGCTCCTTCAGCCATGATGAAGCTATTAATATGTGGAATACAGTAAAACCCCGCATAAAAAAACCTAGATTTTTCCAAGTTAGCCTTACCAGGTTCTTATGTAAATGGTGCTTTCCGGGAAATTAGGATAAACAGGCTCTTAAATAGGTTCCTATTTTCTTAAGAAAAAGCGACTCATTTTCGGTAGGTGTGATATATAATTTATCAGATAAATTATGCACAAATTATCTAACATGAGTCCCTGATGCTGGAATTAAAACATTGCTTACAGTCGCTAGTTGTTGAGATTGTCATGTAGTATTTTCACAGAAGAAATACAGGTATTTGCATGTTGTTGTGTTCACATAGACATGTTATTTATCTGAACGACATTTCCAGGGTTCTGGGTCATTTTCATTACTTTGCGAAGAGCTTATTTTCTTTGAATTATAAATTTTTAGTTTTGACTCTATTTGATAAAATATGAACATGCTTTGAAATTCTAGCCTTAACAGGTTCTCATTTAAAAGGGTTAAAATAAAATATTTTAGCCTAACACTAGGTTCTTAAATTCTAGGTTCGTAAATTCTAGATTCTTATATACGCGGGGTTTTACTGCAGTTTACCAACTGAACCTACGATCGGCACAATCTTTCTTTTAAAAAAGATTTAGAAAGTTGGTTAATTCAACTTCTATGGATTCCACACACTACAATCATCTAAATCAGTAATCCTCGCGTGAATATTTATTTTTTATATACAATGTAATTTTGGACGATTCTATCGTGTTTAAATACATTTTCAATACAATACAAACGTTACCATCCCTGGAGATCGATGTATCAATCAATCAATCAATCAATCAATCAATCAATCAATCAATCAATCAACCAATCAATCAATCAATCAATCAATTAATCAATTAATCAACTAACAACCTATCAATGAATCAATCAATGAATCAATCAAATAATATATTCAAGGTACGCTGGTTGAAACCAATGTCAATGCATGCAGGAGAAACCATGAGGTTAACCCTATCCAATCGTTTAACTTAAAGTTTACGCAAATTCTACATTGTACTTGGACTTTAATTGCAAACAAAATTTTCATATTGAACATGATACCAACGGGCTTGGACCACCCAAAGAAAATAAATCCCAATCAATGTGATCATCATCGATGTAGCACCAAAGGTTAGACCTGCTATGAAGCGACTACAAATAATTGACATATGACCCACGGTCGTTGCTAAACTCAGGTAGAATGCGACATGTTGACGTGGCGATATCTTAGACAGCAAAGCTAAGATAATGGAATGAATGACTGCACACGACACTCCTAGCATGGTCAGGGGCAGGAGAAAATACGGGCCTATCACTTGATCTGGATTGTGCCACGTAAGATCAAAGTAAAACAGCAACAAAATTGGAAAGATCTGCACAGTCATCCAAAAGATGATCAGTTTCTTTTCAGACACATATTCCACTGCAAGGTAGTTGAAAAGAAAGGCGACAAAAACGATCATTGTTCCGTTTAGAAAAAACAATTCTACATGGATAAGTTGTAAATGATAGAGAGTGGCTGCCAATAATGGTACGTAGAAGACAGTGACACAGTAAAAGAAAAACCCCATAAATATTAGGTAATACAGGCAAGCAAACGTGCAATCGATAATCGGTCGGTTATTTGTTTCCAATTCCCCGTCGATTTCGTCGTCGCTTCTCGCACCTGGCCCAATTTGTGTTAACGGGAAGAAATTTTCGTGTCCCGCATTTCGTGGGATGCAAAACACCGTAGCAATAACCATTAAGAACCAAATAATTGCCAAAAACAGCCCTGGTGAATTGCCTTTGCCAATCGTCCAGCCAAAAATATTAAAGTTAAAATTAATGACGCTACCAATGCTTGGAGCTAGTGCTGTTCCAACGTTAAACATTGCTCCAAAGAACACGAACGCTTTAGCGCGATCTTCTTTCTCAGTGTACCGTGATATTACACCATGCATAACTCCCATGGAACCAGCAGCTATTCCACTTAGTAGTCGGCCACATAGAGGAAAGTATGCGTTGACTGGGATAGTATAAGTCAGATGTCCGAGAAATTTGCACACAGCGCTAACTATGAGGATGGGTTTAGTAATATGAAATCTGTCATCCAGTGCTCCAATGAACGGGGCAGTAACCAGCGCCCCAAAAGAGTAAGCTGCTAATGTTACGCCGAGAAAAAAAGTTGTTTCCCCAAGTTCCTTGATGTAATACCAAGCCGTTGGCATTATCAAATACTCTTCCAACCCATCTACAGTAATCCGAATCGAGATATAGATGAAAAGCGCAGTGTTCGTGAACGGAAATTTAGGCCTCAGACGCCTCTTGAACGATCTGTTAAGTAAAAGAAAAGTTAAAATTGAAAATGTAGAGTGTTGTGAAGGAAGTGTTCTTATTTTACATGCAGTTACAGCGGGAGCAAACCTTTGCGAGAAAAATTGAGGCAAAGTACTTTGATTATCTGAAATGCTAATAAAATAGCCAATCAAATATGAGAAAAAAGGAAAAAATTTAGTATTAGTTATTTGAAAATCCACTGGCAATTTGACGGTGAAGAAGGGTAAGGTAACATGGCTTCATGCATGCTCTGCTTTCAAGAGCTATCAGTAAATATAGATTTATAAAGTATCTACAACCCAGGGTTAGGATAGACTACTATATATGTTCCACATTAAAATTTAAAAATCGTAACAAAGAAAAAATATTGCTTGATAGATACCAGTCCATGCTTGTACTCGCGCACGCGCATAACGACGAAAACCGTCCAACGTCTATGACATAATGGAGAATGACATTGCACACGGGTGTAAATAGCCGAGCGGAATTATCAGAGTGAAATGCTAGAATATCGGCTGTCGTCCGGAACGGGGATTATTGCTGAAAGTGCAATAATTTATTTAAAACAACAACGGTAGCCCCATAATAATTCATAATTCCTCGATTTGAAACATTTGTTGGAGTTGTTAAGTTTTTGAAACATGGTTTGAAACATTTGTTGGGAGTGGTTAAATTTTCTAACTGTCAAGGAACTCCCAAGTCAAATCTTCTCCAGAATGCAGAAAATACTATTTAAGAGACGCTAGATTTCAAAACGTTCTGGACTGAGAAACATATCCACCGAATCAACCAAGTTTGTCTGGCCTGCCCCTTCCCCCACAACCATCATTCGCCAAATTAAGAGTTATCATAATTTACAACTTTTAATGTTAAAAACTACTGGTAATATGATTTTACTAAAATCCTCTGACCCCCGCCAATTACCTGCTGCTTCTTACCATCCTTGTCAGCAGACAGTGTTGCATATCTTGCCCGCATCTACTCATAAAATCTACTGAACTTTGTTCTAATTCAAAGCTCTATGTGACTATGTCTCCCGGTTGTTTCCGAAATGCAGGAAATTCCGTTTCAGAAATCCAAAATTCAATTTTTTACCCGGGGGAGCATGCCGCTGGACCCCCCACAATTGTGACTCACAAACGAAAATTGCCCTCTTTCCCCCCAAAAAAGGGGGGGGAAGTAAAATCTTGGCGGTGCTGTCACAATGATTTGTGTTACCCCGTGAAATCTGTTACCACTAGGATAAAATTCCTCTACGATGTCTATCGCAGTACCGGCAGAATTTTCCTTGTATTGATAAAATTAAGCGCGGGCTTTTGTGCCAAGTCAAAGGTGTCCATCTCGACACACTTCGTTAACTACCCTAACCAACATGCGAATTTGCGATCATTAATAATGAAAATCTAAGTATCTAACTAAACATTGATACAAATTTTAGACTTATAAGTATTTTGTATCATTTCAAACAAAAACGATTGAAACTAGTACATATTATAAATACAGTATTATTATTAATTAACATGGCCATGGGTCAGTGATGTCGATTGTGTATTTCCAGGTATAAAGACTAAAAATTCCTATAAGGAATAAAACAGACTAATTCAATTTCCTAATTTTTAAAATATTTAGCAAACAAATTCAAAATAGTGCTTTTATATATCAAATATTCAGATACATATACGGTCATCACTCTCCAAATGGTCGCCATATTGGGCATCAAGGGAATTTCTGCCGGTACTGTGATAGGCATTAAGTTCCGGGTATCATAAACAAATTTTATTTAAGGGGTAACAGATTTCACGGGGTAACACAAATCACTGTGACAGCGCCACTGATTTTTTCATACCCAAACAACTAAGAATGTAAAATTTTCATTTTTCCTCAGAATGCCTTCAGGGTTGTGGATATTTCTTGTAAAACAGACTAATTCAATTTCCTAATTTTTAAAATATTTAGCAAACAAATTCAAAATAGTGCTTTTATATATCAAATATTCAGATACATATACGGTCATCACTCTCCAAATGGTCGCCATATTGGGCATCAAGGGAATTTCTGCCGGTACTGTGATAGGCATTAAGTTCCGGGTATCATAAACAAATTTTATTTAAGGGGTAACAGATTTCACGGGGTAACACAAATCACTGTGACAGCGCCACTGATTTTTTCATACCCAAACAACTAAGAATGTAAAATTTTCATTTTTCCTCAGAATGCCTTCAGGGTTGTGGATATTTCTTGTGAGTATCACTGACCATAATATTACCTCATTATATTTTCCATGTCTCACACGCGGTTATGTGATCACTTCAGAATCGTAATTTCCAAATGCAGTTCCTCTTCTTTTTGCCAAATGCGTCGTAAGAACTCTAAAATTAAATAGTTAAAGTAGATCAGTGAGCCGCAAGAACGTTGTTAATACTTGTTAATAACTTGTTACTTGCATACGATATCAGTGTTCATTGCGGAACAATTTGTTGCGACTTGCGACTCGATCCGTTTGGCCTATAGCTCGTTAATTTTTTCCTAATATGATAGCAAATTGATCCAGACTTCTCAATCTGTTGCGTTGAATTTTGTGCTGTATCGCGCGGAAGTTAAGAAAATCAAGACAAAATTCTAGTGTTTGGATACTCAGCGAACAATGTTGACAAATACATAAAATACAGCAAACTATCGGACGGAAATTATTTTATAATTGCAATTAAATTGACGATCTGTTTATATGTCCCGACCCCGCGTGACAAAGCATTTTCTTTAAAGTGTTTAACTTCGTCTTACTTGGCCAGTTAGCTTTTAATTACTTTAAAATGCACCTTTTGAATAACCAGTTGTGTTTATGTTTAATACTTTGTCTTTGTAAACAACTATATACGTCATATGTACGCCAAAAACTGGGCTTGTACACCAGACTTAAGCTTGCCGGCTATGATTATCGTTCAGCATTGTTCAGAGTAACGAAAGTAACGTCTGTACACAGCCTAGCATATATCCCATACCCTATAAATTTGAGTTATTGAAAGGCACAGCTAAACAAGTTAGTGACCGTAGGGGCGTAGGAAGCGTGGGGTAGCGGGCCCCCAGCCCATTGTTTTATTAAGAGGGGTGGAATAGCTTTCGGCCCCTGCCAAAAAAACAAACTGAATTCGAAACTATAGAAGTATTTGAAATCGTATATATATTAATTAAATATCAATATTTCAATAACAACATTTTTCAGTGTAATAATCCATCCCGGACTCACGGATAGCATAGACTCACAAATCATAATGAAAGAATTAATGAAAGGACTCGACAAAACAGGTAGAGAGGCCTAGGCCCTCTTAGAGAAGACTCTGAAAATGCCATTTCCGACGATCTTGAGACTCAAAACTTTCAAAGTAGTCGGGGCCCCTAAGTTTATCAAGCTTCCTACCCCCTGAGTGATCGAGTTGTGGTATTTACATGAACATACCATGCAAGTACTTAACTGAAGATTCAAGCCCTATCTACAGCATAATTGTGTAATGCTGTATGTTCAAAAATCTAGTGTTTCAGAAAATGCACGAATTGCAGTCCTAGGGGTAGAAAAACATAAAAATTTCGACAATCACGATATGATTAGTATCGCAGGAATTAAAGTATCGACTTTGGGATGCATTACAAATTTAAACGCATGTTTCGTGTGGTGAATATCTCATTTTCATAATTCACCGGATGTGACGTACGTTAAAAATGGTGACAGTGATCGTCATTGGTGACCCTGGCGGTTTACGAAACGGAAAATTGCAAAGGCGACCGCCCTCGGCTGCGCTACTACACTGAATACAGCTATTAGGTTTGGCGCATGAGAAAAGCGGCTTTTGTGGCCCGGGCCTTAAAATTATTCAATACAGTTGTTCAATTTAATTGTTTCTTCAAAGCATAGCTTGCTCAGTTTCGTAAAATCGTAACATCTTCATACCCGAGCCGTCGGCGCGGAGTTCCCTTCGGGGCGTTAGCCCGGGGCGAGGGTACTAATTCCGCCCCGCTATTTACACCCGGGAAAGCATTAGCGAACTCTAAAGTTCGTCAATAATCGCGGGCGCGTACGTGACTATGCATGTTTCGTGCAGCGTGGTCATCCGCACTGATCTCAAAATATGGCCGTACCAGGAGCCGGTTGTTCGGAGGTGGGTTAGCGCTAACCCTCCAGTAAAATTTAACCCGCTGTTTTGGTTTGTGTATTTCTGTACGTCTGTTTATTTCAAAACCTCAGGGAAATAAACTCCCATATCGAACCAGACAAGATTTCTAAAAAGCATTTCCAAATTTGTAAACAAGCTGTCAAGAAGTTTGGGTTATCGTTCCATGTTTCGCGCACCAATATAAGTTAGGGTTAGGGGTTAGATATTAGGGTTAGGTTTGGGGGTTAGGTTTATGGTTAGGGATTTAGGGTTAGTGTATGTAGATACGTGTATGGAGGTATTCAGTTAACTTTTCAGTACACTATAATATCCATTACATAACGTTTACTATATTGCTGCGCGAAACATGGTCATGGAACGATTGCCGAAGTTTGCCTTGAATTTTAGGTTAACCTATTACCTATACTTCTGTAGGGCCAAGCTAATCGGCTTTCGAACAACCGGCCCCAGAAGCGAAGGAGGCAAACATTTTTTTCTATTTTTAAACGTAAACATTAAGAATTGATTTAGTATGAGAAATCCTAAACTGATAAGGCAAGTTTGTTTGAGGGCCGACCATTTAATTTTTGAGGGAGAGGGTGGATGATTTACTGCTGCCAGGGATTTTGTTTTCTGGGATTGTTATGTGCAAGAATTTTCTTTCCTATCCCATCACCAAGTACGATTTTTTTTGCCACTCTCTCTTTCGCAGGATTTTTTTTTCAATAGCTTATACTATTTAGATTCTTTAATTATAGTTAACGTTGAGTTTTCTCGCTTCATTGTTTTTAATAATACATATTGCTATGAGGTATAACATTTGGTCGGCCATGTGTAACTGGAGAGGACATA